CCAGTTTGTTCTTCACTTGTCATACAGGTGGTGTCATTATTGTGACTATAAAAATAAGTATAATAATTTTTTGTACATAAAATGTATTTTGATATATTTCAATAATCTGTCGTAATATGGTTATATGTATACAATAGAAATAAAAAGACAAATGAGAATTTGCTCAAATCGATTAAATGTTTTCTATTGAATGACGTGTATGTTTAAGTTTCGTATATGTTTAAGAAATGATTCTGTTTGAAGTCCTTGCCACACATCAAAATGCTACACATCAAATCAATTTAAAGAGCTTTTTGTCGCTGTGTACAAAACTGTGTCTGGCTTCGAGTTGTTTGATACGAAAAGCTTTGCCGCAAACCAAAAATACTGATTTCTATATCACGTACCTCTCAAGCATATGATTTTTTGTCTGCATCTATCTTTAAGTGTTGTTTTAAGATCATTATATGGGCAATTATAGATGGATATTGGTCACATTTGTGAGCACGAGTGTGGCGTAATGGGAGCACATGAGACTGCTGTGCCAGAAATCCCGAGTTCGATCCCAGGCAGATTCAAGACATTTTCTCGCGTTTGTAATTCCTTTTCGATGGTCTGGTAAATCATCAAGAATATCTATTGCCAAGAAAACCTCTCAAAACCTGCCGTCCAAACCGGCGTTAAATTATATATTTCTGTGTACAATCTGCGTGCGCACCACAGGCATACGTGCAAGAGGTAGGCCCGTAAAAACACAAGAAGGCGAGGCATTGCAATGATAATAATTATAAATGTACGGTGTGCGAGGAAGATTTTAAACCTTAGAACAGTTTGCATTATCATTTAGAAACGAATCATTCCCGTGAAAGACAGTACAAATGTAATCAATCCAATCTATCCCGACTCGCAAATTGTTCTGAATTTTGAAACTTTCTCAGACACCATATACTTGTAATTTTTATCATTGAAATGCTTGTGCTTTTTTAGAGCACCTTTTTGACTACAAAATCATCGTAAACAACATTTTTTTAATCATTTGTTAACAATTAATTTAAGAACATACATCGAGTTATTAAATAATTCTTCCAATTTTGGTTGTTCCTTTAAATACGTAAATGCTTTTTCACAAAACTTACACTGATAGTTTTTTCCCTGTATGAATCATCTCAGGATGACGCAAATACGATTCACGGTTAAACTCCAGTGGTAGGCTTCAGTTTTGTACCTACAAGTCAATTCTTTACCGTACTAGAATTTTATAAGATTTTATAAGAATTTTAGAAGAAAGTAATTGCTAGAAATGTTTAATAAACATTTATAGCAATAAATAAT